CTGGCGTTGCATTACAGACCTCAGTTCAAACACATAATTTTATCCAAAATTGGACTAAAGATGCTCATATGTGGGCCAATCAGGCTCAGATAGATGAGAATATTCAAGATGAAATACAGGAACTAAAAACAGCCATCAAATGGGTTGGAGATCAATAAATAGATGTACAACAACAGGTGATGCTAAAATGTGATTGGAATTGTACTCAATTTTGTTACTCCTGTTCAAGTCAATAATAGTACCTACAACTGGGAACAAATCAAATTTCATTTACAAAACATACATGATAATGCCTCTCTGAATGTACAAGTATTATAAAAAGACATCTTTGAAACCTTTTCTAAAAATCTGCCCTCTTCCACTAATTTGGAAACTTTAGCTGAATAACTAGCTTATCTGGGCTAGAGCCACACGGACAATTTCAAAGCATTACTCACAGCATCAGGTCTGGAACTGCAGTTTTGGTGATTGTCTCGACAATTATATTTCTCGTTTACCGTTGCCTTCATGCAAAAATTAAAACTAAACAAACTCAAATGGTCAGAGCCCTTTTTACAAATACTGTAAATAAATAAGGGGGAATTGTCAGGGAATGTTTAATAGGAGGATTCCTACGTGCTGCTTCTCAGAAATCCTTTGTTCCTTATCAGTTTCTCTTGTCAGAAACCAGTGGAACCGCTCCCAGGACTGAGGTCATTGGATGAGACAGGCTTGAATCTCCTTCAGTAAACATTCTCCTTACAAAACTGCTTAGTCTCCATCCTCTTTCTTGAGATATGGATTATCTCCTGACCTTGTGATCATTATTAATCCCTTGGTAACTGTTGCTGTATGTTTGGTTTTCTGATCTTTATCATTATCGAAAGAAATTTCTTATACAACAGCCTATATATACTCACAGAAAGATCATTAAAGCACCTTTGCTCCATCAGAGCTTCGGTCCCCCTGTCTTTCTTTCTCTCTCTTTCACTTTCTTATCGTTGACTCCAGACTGCCACATTCTGGTCCATTAAAGGACCCCGACAGATTCCAACACAATATATTCTTTAATCCTATAACTATTGTTAATACAGCTTTGTATTAAATTTTTTAAACTTACCTCAAGGGGATATTTTGATAAAAGCAGAAAAAGATTTTGAGGCATTGAAGGATACCCTCCTTCCTCTGCCCATCTGTTATCAAGACGGGTTCACTCAACAATGGAAATCTGGAAAATTAATATTACAAGGAAAGGGGTATGCTTGTATTTCTCCAGATGGAACCAATGAAATCAGTTGGCTCCCTCTTCAGAAGATCCGCCCTAGGGGAGCTACTGGCATTCAAGATAGAGAAGAAATGGCAACATTCCTAGGAAGAGGAGTTTCTAGTATAAGCAATGGCGACTTTAAAAATTTACAACAAACGCCGCACTCGACGTCATCGACCTTATGATCTCCCCGCTCTGACACAGATAAAAACCCTTACTAATCAAGCTGAAAACCTGGTTTCTCAACAGGAAATGCCTTGGAATCCAGAAAAGATTTTTGTCGCTATGCTTGCTTTTGCTTCCCCCGTGCAGGCTGACTTGATTAATCACACTTACTGGGCTTATATACCTAACCCCCCTTTATGGCAGGTTGTAGAACGGACAGATATAGGACCAGTTGTATCCAGTAATGACTCAGTGCATATGCCTCCTCCTTGGAGCTTGGAGGGGCCCTCTCATCCTGAGGAAGAAGGAAGATTAATTAACATTTCTCTAGGCTATGAAATCCTTCCTATATGCATGGGCCCAGCAGAATTATGTATTAATGTTAGTCGACAAACGTGGGCTTTCATCCTGCCTCCAAAAAAGAACTTCCGCACCTTGTTTAGACTGTTTATTGCCCTGTCCTTTTATGAGAACCAAGTCAATAGTACCAATATTCTAGGAAAATGACAAAAGTTGGAATGTAAGAGGTTTACTTACAAGGATTTTAAATGTACTCCTGTGTATTGAGATAAATGTCAAGCTAAATCATGGAAATTAACGTGTGTGGCCAATTACACCATTGTTGATTGGGGAACCCATGGTACGTGGTTGTCTAACTGCTCAGATGATATTAACAGCACTGTATGTGATTATGTTACTCAAGTGGCATAGAAGATAACTAATACTATGATGGAACATTACAATGACAAAGGACTTCTTTGCTGGCTTGATGGTGGAATGGCACCCCCTCACCTCAAATCGTCCTCAATAAAGGGATTGGCCCTGAACAATGGGACATCTGGAAACTTGCCATGAGCGCCAAAGAACTTGGAACTTGGACTGGCTATTTCATGGGGACCAGCCGTAGTCATAGTAGCTATTCCTTTCATTATAATCATTCGTATCTCCTACAAGCTTGTGTTCCCCTTCCTTTTGTTATAGCCATAAGGAACTTACAATTTAATAAGACTTTATGTTCTGTGGCTTGTATAGATTGCAAATTGTACACTTGTCTTAATTCTTCTATTTCTCTAAAAATACAAATCCCTTTGGATTCTTCGATCTCGACGTAGTCTGTGGTTGCCAGTAGATCGCCAGCAACCCTGGAAAGACGGTCCCATGGCAAGACTTGCCTCCCAGTTACTCAATAAATTACTCCGATGATCAAAGCGATTCACTGGATGGTTCATTCTTGGCATTTTGGGGTTAATAGCCATCGCAGACATTGCTTTACAAACTTCAATTCAAACACAAAACTTTATTCAAAATTTGACTAAAGATGCTCATACTATATGGGTCACTTAGGTTCAGGTAGATGAAAAAGTTCAAGATAAAATTCAGGAATTAAAAACAGCCATCTAATGGGTTGGAGATCAATTAATAGATTTACAAAAACAAGTATTATTAAATTGTGATTGGAATTCACATCAATTTTGTATCACTCCTCTTCGGTTCAACCACAGTGCTTACAAGTGGGAACAAATCAAATTTCATTTACAAGATATACATAATACTTCCTTAAATGTACAAGTGTTGCAAAAGGAAATCCTTGAAACCTTCTCTAAGAGTCTACTCTCTTCCAACAATTTGGAAACCTTAGCTGAACAGCTCGCTGCTCAATTATCTGGGCTAGACCCTCGAAGATGGTTTCAAGGCATTACACATAGTACTGGATCTGCCTATAATGCTGATAATTATCCTGGTGATTATATTTATAATGTACTGATGCCTTTCAACTAAAATTGTTCAAACTAAACAAACTCAATTTGTCAGGGTCTTTTTCACAAAAGTGTCTAGAGTCATCCCCAATGATGAAAAAATAAAAAAGGGGGAACTGTCAGGGACGTTCAACTTTAAGGGATCCAATATGTTATTTTCTTCTTCTGTGTGCCATTTCTCAAGGACTCTCTATTCCTTATCAGTTCCTGGAAAACAGGAACGAGCAGAGCTGCACGCAGTTCTCAGGACTGAGATCATCAGATAGGGCACCTGCTTGGATTCCTTTCAGAGACTTCCTTCAGTGAACTTTCACTTAAAGGTAATCTATTGAGTTATGCCCCTCTTACTCAGGATATGGAATGCGTTCTGGCGCTTTGAAGATTATTTGCTTGGCTTTGTTCTGCTCAATTTTTTTACTGCCTAAAGCTGCCTTGTATGAAGATATATAAACATGTGGTTCTGCAAATAAAGCCCCTTGTTTCACTCGAGACTTGGGTCCCCTGCGCCCTTCTTCTCATCGACTCCAGTCCCCAGGTCCCGGTCTACAAGGACCGTGACAGCTCTGTCTTCAATTTCCACAGATAAGAGTAACTCTTCTTTAATCATACATACAACAGTTATTTCTATCCAATGGAGAACATGACCCTTTTCCTATGCATTGTTCCTAGCACACCATCAGTCCCTGGTCACTGTCCCTCTCCTCCTACGAAAAGCCCAGTCCTTTTAACATCTTGCCTACTCTTCTCAAGGTCAGTTGGTAGAATATTATGTTTTATAACAGGCTGGACTATGTACAGAAGGGCTTCCTGATCCTACTGACCATGATGAGTCATGTCTTAGGTTTACATTATTTTCCACCCTCCCTGTTGCTAACTCACACACACTACTGAATTTTGTAATTCAGGCTGTGTGTTTTTCCAGGAAACAAGGATGTGAATGAATCATATCTAATGAAATCGGCCCCTTCATCTCACTGATTCCTTCCCAGAGACCATCATGAAACGCGTGTAGCAAATGCGTTTGATCAATGTATTACCGAAGCCAAGCTCTTAGAGCTCACCACACAACAGGTCAATAAACTGAGAGACTATTTGTTGGGCAAGGAATAGTGACTTTATTCAGAAAGCCAAGAGACCAAAAAGATGGTGGATTACTGTCCCAAAGAATCATCTTTGCTGAGTTAGAATTCAGGTTTCTTTTACACAAAAAGATCTCTATAGCTTCTCTTCAAATATGGGCTTAATCCAGTGGCTGAGTACCTGAACTACAGTCATCAGAGAATACATAGAAAAAGGTAAAGGACTCGCCACAACCACTGAGTCTGGGAAGTATGGCTCCACTATGTTCCTATCTTGTGACTTTGGGGTAAGATCCTTGCCACACACTTGACATTGCTGTGTGTTTTCTCCAGGATAAATACTCTGATACTACTGGCGAGATGTGAGCTGTGAGGATAGGGTTTTTTCTTTCACATTTGTGAAACTGGTGAGGAATCTTTCCAGAATGAATTCATGTTCTACCTGACATGTTCTAACCTGACTAATAAACACATATATATCTGGCTTCTATCCAATATGAATTTTCCCATGAAGCCTAAGACGTTGCCACACTCATGATATTTGCATGGTTTCTCAGTAGTATGAATTCTCTGACCAACAGTAGGGTGTGAAGTTTGAACTTTGAATTTTGAAGATTTCTACCATATACCACATTCACATAAGTTTCTCTCATGTATGGATTTTCTGATGTTTAGTGAGTGCTGAGACCTGAGTGAAGGATTTTCCACACTCGAAACATTTGAAAGGTTTCTCTATATGTATTCTCCGATGACTTGTGAGGTGTGAATTTCGACTGAAGAACTTGCCACACTCATCACATCTATAAGGTCTCTCTCCAGTATGAATTCTCCAATGAAGTCGAAGATGTGGTTTTTGACCGAAGACTTTTCCACACTCATCACATTTGTAAGGTTTCTCTCCAGTATGAACTGTCTGATGACTTAAAAGGGTTGACTTTACATGAAAGGCCTTGCCACACTCATCACACTTGTAAGGTTTCTCTCCAGTATGAAATCTCTTATGACTTATGAACTGTGAAGGTTGACTAAAGTGCTTGCCACACTCATTACATCTGTAAGGTTTCTCTCCAGAATGAACCCGCTGATGACCAGCAAGGTGATCATTTCGGCTAAAGACTTTGTCACATATATCACATTTAAATAATTTCTTTCCTGTATGAATTTTCTGATGTCTCCTGAGGTTTGAGCTGTCAGTAAAGGCCCTGCCACACTCATCACATTTGTAAGGTTTCTCTCCAGTATGAACTGTCTGATGCCTTAAAAGGGTTGACTTCAAAGGAAAGGCCTTAGCACACTCATCACATTTATAAGGTTTCTCTGCAGCATGAAATCTCTTATGACTTATCAACTGTAAAAGCTGATTAAAGTGCTTGCCACACTCATTACATTTGTAAGGTTTTTCTCCAGTATGAACCCTCTGATGACCAGCAAGGTGTGCATTTTGGCTGAAGACTTTGTCACATATATCACATTTAAATAATTTCTTTCTTGTATGAATTTTCTGATGTCTCCTGAGGTTTGAGCTATCAGTAAAGGCCTTGCCACACTCATCACATTTGTAAGGTTTCTCTCCAGTATGAACTGTCTGATGCCTTAAAAGGATTGATTTTACACGAAAGGCCTTGCCACACTCATCACATTTGTAAGGTTTCTCTCCAGTATGAAATCTCTTATGACTTCTGAACTGTGAAGAGTGACTAGAGTGCTTGCTACATTCATTATATTTGTAAGGTTTCTCTCCAGTATGAATCCTCTGATGAACAGCAAGGTATGCATTTTGGCTGAAGACTTTGTGACAGATATCACATTTAAATAGTTTCTCTCCTGTATGAATTTTCTGATGTCTCCTGAGGTGTGAGCTATCAGTAAAGGTTTTGCCACACTCACTACATTTGTAACATGTCACTTCAGAATGAATTTTCAAATGACATGCAAGCTGTGAACTTTGATCAAACAATTTGTCACGGACTTCACGTTTATGTAATTTCTCTCTTGTATGGATGGCCTGATGTTTAATGAGGTATGAGCCCTTAAGATAGGCTTTCCCACACTCATCACATTTGTAAGGTTTTACCCTGTGTGCTTTGAGGTCTTGTGTTATTACTGAAAGATTGCTAAAATCATTCCCATATATATTAGAAACACTGGTTTGGACACAAGGAGGACTTCTTTGAAGTGGTGAAAATGAGAAACTGTTGTTGACAGACCTCTCAACCTCATTATATTCAGAAATTGTTCTGCCAGTTTGAAATATTTGCAGTTTTTCCTGAAAGTTAAACCCAAGCCTGTTTCCAAAGGGCTTGATTCCTACATCCTTTCTATCATGTGAATCTCTTCCATCAGGCACATTTCCATCAAGGCTTACAGGTGATCCTTTCTCATTTTTTTTGTCATCTCTCCCCTGACACTCAAAGTCACACATATTTTCCTGACTTTCCAAAAGATGAAAATGTTTGATTTCACAGCTTTCAGATCTTTCCAGCATCAATGTTTGGAATGGTTCTCGTTTATCACTGTTCGCTTTGGGTTGTATATGCTTGATCACATGTGTAGGAGAGATATCTACAAGATAAAAAGAACCATAGGTACCTGCTCACAATAATTCAAAAATAAATGTTTCATGTTGAATATCTATTATACCAAAAGTAATACACCAAGTTATGAAACACCACAATGATGACCTTAAGCTTTTAGAAACACTAAAGGAAAAGAATTCTTAATATGAGAAAGCATGATAACATAAATTCACCGTTAAAGTAGCCTAGTTTAAAAACCATATGCCAAACACACTCATATTGGACAATATTATGGCAACTCCCAAAAACAGAGTTAGTTTTCTAACAGGATCCCTAGGAACATATCAATCGATAGTTGTCTCAAATTGAAAAGAAAAATATTACACTATCATTATATTCTGCATACTTACTATACATAAATAAATTCTAAGCAATATATTATATATTGTAACAGTAAATAATCCAAAACCAAGCTAACCCAATTAATAATGAAATATCCATAATTTGTTGTTTACAATTGAAGACAAATGAGAAAATGAAGAAGATGACTAAAACAAGTTTTTGGAAACAACATAGTTTTCTAAATCTGCTACAGAACTACATACCCAAAAAGAAAACGCATTTTACAATGTTAACAAGTAGTATGTGTCAGCTGTATTGCAGAATACACGCTAAAAGACCATCATCTGTAAATGACACAAATTGAGACGTAAAATATTTACCAGTTTTCTAACAGCCAAGAACCAAAGCAATCCCTACCTATGTTGTTGTTCAGTCGCTCAGTTGTGTTTGATTCTTTGCGACCCCGTGGACTGCAGCCCACAGGACTCCTCTGTCCATGGGATTTCCCAGGCAAGAATAATGGAGTGGGTTGCCATTTCCTTCTCCATGGGATCTTCCTGACTCAGGGATCAAACCTGCATCTTCTGCATTAGCAGGTGAATTCTTGACCACTGAGTCACCAAGGAAGGCTAATCCCTAGCCGTGCACTATTCTTAATTACCTGGTTTAATGGCACCAAAGTATAATAAATAAAAAGTGAGTGCTCTGTGTGTTTATTGACTAGGGTCAGACACAGTATTGCTGAAAAATGTAGCAAGTGAAAAGCGTACAAGATATAATGGAGTTGAGGTTTGAGAGAAAACAAAATTCTATAAGCAATTATCTTTCAATTAAAAAATAAATAAAATTTTAAACAGATATAATGTAGATAAAGTCATATATATCATGAAGAACATGACAGAATGTAGATATTACCTTTCTTAAACAAAAGTAAATGTTGAGTATTTACTATAAAACATGCACTAGTGTAAGCCAACTGACAGCACTCATTTGCTTTAAAAGGCTTCAGGTAAATTAACATGTTTTTCTCTAATCAGAGCAGGAGACATATCCAATTGGCCCACAAAGTGGTAAGAGTACCAGGATATGAATCTGAACCTACAGACTGAGAAAAATTATTTGTAAACATGACCACCCATTGAATGAATAGATTAGAAAATATTAGGAAAAAAATACAAGGAACTTAGAAAATATCAAGGAAAACACAAGACAGAAGTAGTCTCTTTAACTCTTATTCAACCATCCCATCTCAAAATGGTTTGTGAGTCATCATGGATGCAGAGAGTGACTGAGGTCAAGTCCTGAGAAACTTGTTCAATAAATGATCAGAGATTATCATTACAGTGAGAGCATGTAGAAGGTGGAGGGATGTGGTAGGTAAGAACAATGTTTCCATCCGTATCAAGGTACTATGTGAGGAATGGTCAGGACTAACAAAGGGCCTGTGTGGAGCATAGGGTACACAAGCTGATGTTAGATATCAGCTTGGGACTGCATGTCTTTGTGAAAATAACTGAGAGCGCAAACTAATATACTGACCTGAAAAGAAAAGAACTGGTTCAGCAAGTTTATGGGCATTATACTATGGGTATGGGACAGAAACAGGCGAGATTTTAAAAGTGACTATGTGGTAATATATGATATCACCATATATGTGGTGATATATGTGGTGATATATGGAGAAAGCAGGATAATACCTGTTATACTATTTACAATGTAATGTATCCAACCATGAATTTTGTACGTTACAATGGAATGCTTATATTCAAGAAAAACATACACAATATTCCAGGATATTGTATAAGAATCTTATTAGCAGAAATCAGAAGGAAAATCCAGGAAAAGCCTATCTAAACCTGGGTTCCTCTGCCAAGTATGACAAACCTCTCTATTGGACATTCATTTCATTTCTTCTTCTACACATGTTCATCTCAAGATCGAGGAGTATCAAAGAAAAGGAGGGATTGAAATTGACTCTGGAGGACCGTCCCAGTTACAAAAGCCTTTCTGAGGCTTCCAACTCCTTTTTGTAGAAAAAGGCCTTATTCTTCTAGACCTTCCCTGAGTTCTAAAGTGCAGATTCAAACAGTTACTAATACACAAAAGGATCATAAACTATGATCCAGTGGGATTATTGCAGGATGCAAGATTTCTCAATATCCACAAGTTATTCAGTATGATATACCACATTACAGTTGAAGACTAAAAACCATATGATCATCAGTAGATGCAGTAAAGGTTCTGACAAAATTCAAGTGCCATTTATGATAAAAACCCTTCAGAAAGTCAGCACAGATGGACCCTACCTCAACATAATTAAGACTGTATATGTCAAACACACAGCTAACATCATACTCAACAGGGAAAAACTGAAATCATTCCCCTTAACATCATGAATAAGACAAGAATGTTCACTATTGCCACCTCTATTGAACATATTTTTGGAAGCCCTAGCCACAACAATCAGAAAAGAAAAAGAAATAAAAGGAACTTAAGTTAAAAAAAATAAAGAAGTAAAACTGTCACTATGATGCTACACACAGAAAATCCCGAAGATGCCCCCAGATGACTACTAGACCTCATCATGAACAGAGTAAACTTGCTGGATACAAAATATATAGAAAACTGCTTGATTTTTATACAGTAATAATAATATATCAGAAAGTGAAATTAATGAAACAGAGTCTCCAATGCCAGAAAATAACCTGGAAAGATGCATCAAGCCCTCGTGATACTTTCTCTCTCATAATCCTGGAACATACTGACCACTCTACTGGATAGCTTCAAGCGGTGACTTTGAACAGAGCAAGAAAATAACATTAAGAATAGTGTCTCCATTAGAGTTTTCTGTTACCTAGTAAATCCACTCCACAGAGACTCACCAGAGGTGGCCAATTAAACATAGGTGGATTATCACAGCAAGGAAACCTGATAAAATTGCAGATCCTCAGGAATATATTTCAAAGAAATTTAAGAAGTAAAATGATACAAAGTAAGGAGAATGTAACACTGGGAACAGTTGACATTCCCAGACTGGGTAGAACAGCACAAGAGTAAAAATAATACAACACAAAGGTCTGACATTACACGATCTTGAGATGGGACCATGCGCTCGACCTACAGATGGCAAGCTAAGAGCCCGCGAGATTCACATATGCTCCCCTTGTAGGATCTAGGATCAAAAAGACGATCTCTCTACCCACTCTCCTTACATCTCCCTAAGTAACAACCACAGAGGATCCAATCCACCAGCTTGTCCCACTCCTAACCAGAAAAAAACAGCCCTTTTGAGATACTCGTTTTTCTTTATATGTTGTATCTTTGGCTATTTTTACATCACTCCCCATTGTCTAGAGCTTTCTCTCGTGCTCCAATGTGGAGATAACATTCAGATCAGAAACAGAAATTCTGGGACTCCCCTGGTGATCCAGTGGTTAAGATGCTGCACTTCCAATGCAGGGGGTTCAGGTGTGAATCTTAGCCAGAGAGCTAAGATCCCACATGCAGAATGGTGCAGCCAAAAAAAAGTAAACAAGCAAGCAAAAACAAACAAAAAAAATAGATATTCAGGGTTATCAGAAGAAAGAAATCTAAAGTGCTGTGGATTTTTTTAAACACTGCATCAAAAGTCAAAAGGTAGAAAATAGGAAATCAGGTTTCTTGGTCTTTTTCTTTTAACGTTTGCCAGCGAGCTCTGGACATAATTCAGCTTTTGGGACAACCTCAGATGTGACATGAGACAGACACAGCATCTGAAGTGGGTCAATTTAACCTTGTGAAGCTGTGTCATGCCGGAGTCACCAGGACTCTCAGATGAAAGACATCAGGGCCCCCCAAGGGGCACACAGGGAAAATGCAGATACCCAACGGCAGCTCTGGAAGGAAGTCATCCTCACCCACAGACAACAGGTTCCTATAGGTCTCCAACATCACATCCCTGTACAAGGCCCTCTGAGCAGGGTCCAGGAATTCCCACTCCTCCTGAGTGAATTCGATGGCCACATCCTCAGAGGTCAGTCGTTCCTGAAATGAAACCACATGTCGCCAAAAGGGCCATGAAAAGTTCTCATTTTCATGCAAAAGAGAAAGGATAGTAAGAAGGGGTAAGGGCTAAGAATTGACTTGGTTGAAGTATGTGTTCTAACAGATCCATGCAGGAGTATCTGAAGAAATTATAGATCTCTAATTTTAATTTCGTATGCTTTTTTGTAAGACCTTATGAGATCCTCCAATTAATATGGACTTTTCAACAGTGTTCAAAATTCATGAACTATATATAAATAAAATTCAACACTGTATTGGCTATACAGAAGTGTCAGATATTACATTCGACCCAGTGAGTGTAATTCATTATCCAGATGAGGTATAGCATGAGTGGTGCCTTCAGATATGATGAAGTCCACAGCACTTTTAATGGAAAGGTCAAAATTTTCAGTTATGATGTTGAGAACAGCAGCAAGGACCCAAAGTGTTTGAAGGGTTTCTGTTGCTTTCAATTACTGCATGATTACTCTAAACATTAAACAAGTAAGTTACAGGCAAGAACCTGTCATCAATATAATAGCTCATTAAAGAACAATCTGTTCCCACCTTACAGAAGAAAAACTGTGTCATAGACACTTTGAGAAACTCAACTCAGATCAAGAAGGTAAGAAATGTTACACGAAGCACCTGAACTCAGAGGCTTGGGCTGAGCCACTTAAGCTTAAGCATCTAACAGTTAAGTAATACAGAGAACATTAAAAGTCCTTTGACACAGGGCTCCTAAAGAAAACTTGAAAGAAGTCCAAGGTGAGCCTCTTCCCTGCCCCTCTGTCTTCTCTGCAGGGGGAGCAGCTCTCAGGCCCCGGGCCTTCGTCCCCTGAAAATGGACGCCTGCGCCGAATTCGTCTCCACCCACTCCCTGATCGGGAGAACCTCCCGCCTGCTGAGTGATCACTGTCCGCGGTGGTGAAGGACCGGAGACACTGACCGCTGAGAGCCATGGCAGCGTGGCAGCCCCGGGTCCCTGGACCATCTCATTCATTCCTAGCCACAGCTTCCAAACCAGCGCCATCTGACGCGGCGCTGACACAGCAGCCAAGTGCCCTGGAGCTGGAGCTGCCAGAGCAGGGGAGGCTGGGTCCAGGGCTGGAGGTGGGACCATGGGCGGGAGCGTCATCACTGTTACCGAGGAACCCTTCTCTGAAACAGCAGCTGGTCTGCCCCAGGGGCTTGGCCCTCTCAAAGGCCATGGGGCTCTTTTGCCTCATGGTGCTCTAGCTCATCTTCCTCACACGTGAAGGAGCTGCTTCCACCTCCCACAGTTCTTTCTCCTGTGTCTGCCCTGCGTGTTCCCTTTCCTGTAACTGCCCAGGCATCTGGGGACAGTGGTGGGCTCAGGGTTTGACAGAAGGAAAGCAAATAAATATTGTATTAATGTGAAAAAAAAAAAAAGTCCAAGGTGAACAATGTGGAATGGCATGAAAGGTCATCAGAGAAATGAATACAGAAACACAACTGTTAGCAATTTACTACTTAAAACACTAACAGGATTGTTTAGAAAATTTCAAGGCCACAGACTGTAGTGATAACATAATTTCAACTGAAAAAAAAAAACATAATATGTAGGTTTTAAATCAAGATGTCTTCTATCTAAACCACAGACTTGCAGATGAATGCATACATATCTATAAAAATTTAACTGAAAAAATAAAAAATTAAAAATTAACTGAAATGAGAGGATTTGTCTCTTGACAGATTTTTTGGACAATTTTACATCATCCTTTTATTCACATGTATTTCAGCATCTTCCAGATGATAAAAGTGTATACTTTGTACTCAGTTGAGTTTGTCAACAGGATTCTATACTAGCCTACCAAAAGAAAACTGGTAAAAACATTTCAAAAAAAAGAGTACTTGAACTCAATTCATAATAAAATTACCATATACAAAAATACAATTTGATCCATTTAAATTTACATAGTAAGGCATTAACAGAAGCCAAAGACTTTCTTTCCTTTTTTTTCCATTAATAAAACAGTGATTTGAAATTAGAAGAGTCATTAGATATGACAAAAAAAAAATTATCACAAGAGTAAAGTAAAAAAACTTCTTGGAGAATTAAAAATCATGGCAAAAAAGAATATAGAAAAAAAATATAGTTATTAAGCAAGACTATCTCAAGAAACATCATGATAGGAAGGAAACATTCAATACATTTCTTCTGAAATTACAGTGGCATGAAAGGAGCTGTCCAGGGTGCCTGTCTTTCACCAGGATAGGATGCCCATGAGCAGGGGCCACTAGAAGAAGTAACAGGAGGAAAAACACAGGGCAAGAGACACAGAGTTTGTCAGAGAGTTGAAACAGGTAGTACTCACTAACCTAAGGACATGGAAAGGTGAAAAGTGAAAGAATGCAAAAAGACAGTCCATCCTAAAGAGAGTAGGGGAGACTGTTATATCAGACAAAATAAACTGAAGAAAAAACAAGTGCAATGAGATAAATATTGTAGAATGATAAAATGGTCAATCTACCAAAACGCTGTAACAAGTAAAAATATATATACATCTAACATTAGATATCTCAGACAAATGAAGCAAACATTAAGGGAAAGGAAGACAGAAAGAGTGAAACAGAATAGTATGAGATTTCAATGCCCAGGTTGAACAAGCATGCACACATCACACGGCCCAACAAAAGCATAAAACACATACATCTCAAGGACATATAAAACATTCTCAATGAGAGACCACATGTTAGGCCAAAATTTAAAATTTTAAGAGACTGATGCTATAAAAGTATCTTCCCCAACAACGAAATAAACACAAGAAAAAAAGAAAATTCCCCAAATGTCGCCATTAAACAACTTACTCTTATACCACAAATGGGTCTAAGACAAAAATCACATGGAAAATTTTAAATACATGGATGAAAACGAAAAGACAACAGTACAAAATTTGTAACACACAAAGACTGTATTAAAAGAAAGTCTGAACTGTTAAATGCTTACAGTAAAAAAGAGAAAAGATCTTAAATCTGAAATCTATTGCTAGATCTCTAGCAAGTAGAAAACAGAAAACAAACTAAACTCAAGTTTAGCAGAAGGAAACAGGTAAATAAGAAAGATTAAACCAGAGAAAATAGAAAGTAGAAAAACATAAAAATCAACAAACCAAGAGTTGATGTTTTGAAAAAACTGTATAGGAAAACCCCCACCTAAGGAAAAGAGAAAACCAGATTCAAATAACGAAAAACAGATATGAAACAGGAGTGATTACAACTGAGGTCAAAGAAAGTTTCTACAGATAAGGAAGTACTAGGACCAATAATGCCTATAAATGACAGAATACAGGAGATACTGGCAAATTCTCAGAAACATACAAAGTATTTTACTTACTTAGAAATTAAAAAATCAAGAAATGTTGAAAGTGAAAGTGTTAGCCACTGAGTCGTGTCGGACACTTTGTGACCTCACGAACTGTAGCCCACAAGGCTCCTCAGTCCATGCAATTTCTCCAGACAATACTGGACTAACCAGCCATTCCTTTCTCCAGGGAATCTTCCCACCCAGGGATAGAACCTGGGTCTCCTGCACTGCAGGCAGATTCTTTATGATTCGAGTCATCAGGGAAGCCCATTGTAACTAGAGAGATTTAAAAAGTAGTCAGAAACCTCTGAGAAAAATAGGGGACCAAATTCTAACAAACATTTACAAATAATTACCACTAATCCTGCTAATTCTATGGAGCAAGCATGATTCTAATAGTTTGCTGATTTCCCAAAGACACAAGAAAGGAAAACTGGAAACCAATGCCCCTGACGAATACTCATGCAAAACTAAAATACCTGCAAGCCAACTTCAACACGTATTAAAAAGATCTGGAGAAACAGACATAGAGAACAGATGGAGGGGGGAGGGGAGGAAGGAGAGGGTGAGATGTATGGAAAGAGTAACTTGGAAACTTACATTACCATATGTAAAGTAGAGAGCCAATGCGCATTTGCTGAATGACTCAGGGAGCTCAAACAGGGGCTCTCTAACAACCTAGAGGGGTGGGATAGGGAGGAAGATGGGAGGGAGGGGACATATGTATATCTAAGACTGATTCATCTTGGTATTTGGCAGAAAATAGCAACTTCTGTAAAGCAATTATCCTTCAATTAAAATAATTTAAATAAATAAATAAAAAGATCTGACACCGTGACCAAGTGGATTTTATTCACGTAAGGTGAGAAGTCAACATACAAAAATCAATTAATATGACACACTACATAACATACTAAAGGGAAAAAACAAACAGGATCATCTCGATGCAGAAAAAAACCATTCGACAAAAATTTGACAACCCTTCAAGATGGAACACTAAACAAACTACAACAAATTATACCAACATCAACATAATAAATGCCATTATGAAAAGAGCACAGCAATGGGGAAAGAAGGAAAGCTTTTCCTCTGAGGTCCAGACAGCAAGGATGTACACTGCACTACAGTTCAACAAAGCACTGAAACCCTTAGAGCAATTAGATGAGAAAAAGAAATCAAAGGTCCCCAAATTGAAAACAAAGTAAATTTATCTTCTTTCCCACATGACAAAGTTTCATAGGTAAAACTCACAAAGATTACAAAAGAAACATGCTGTATCAAAAAAGATTCTTTAATAACCACACAAAGGGTCAATCAACCAATTAACTCATTATCAAAGCTGCCATGGCAATCTTTGTAGAAGCAGAATAAAACATGGTGAAAGTCACAGAACTATTCAAAGAGCAAACAGCAACACTCCTGAAGAAGGAAGATGGAGGTCTTTCTACTTCAAAACCTATTACAAGGTAATCAAGGTGATGTAGTACTGGCATAAAAAGAGACAAACCAACTGAACAGAACACAGTACTCAGAAATAATGCTTTGTGTATATGTAAGGTATATTCACAAGGATGTCAACATACACAAAAGGGAAAGGACAGTCTCAATTGATCTGATTTCCAGATTTTACCAGCTACTGTGCACATTAATACCTGATTTTCATGGGCAGTTT